TATTTATGCATCTGTAACTGCAGTTTAAATGCATCCATGTCTCCTCTGAGATACATTAAACTGTGTAAATGCATCTAAATGCTATTTCAGATGCAGATTCCAGAAATGTTTTCTTATGTTTTCTTATGTTGGAATGAAAAAGACTAAGTACCGGATGAAGTGCTTCTTATTCTTACCCAAATACACACAATAGAAGAAAGAGTTCAAACTGAACAGTCTTGCTACTCAAGCTGTGTATGAACATTTTTTTATATTTATTTGCTTCTTTTCCATTTTGCATTTACTTGTACTTTTACTTTTGAATACTTAAGTACGTTTAAGATTTAAAGAAATAATTTTCGTACTTAAGTACAATAAATATCACATACTTTAAGACTTTTATTCAAGCAATATTTCAGGTACTTTATACACCACTGCACCTTTGGTTGTGGACACTCTTCCCTGCAATGAAGCTGCTTCTTCCTGTACCTCGAACAGAGAACATCATACAGGCCACTTCTACATTTTCAACCCCTTGGTCTCCCCTAACCCTAAAAACAATTATGTACATAGAACATTTTAAATGTGGCTATTTTACCACAAACATTCATTTACACTAGTACAAATACCAATTTTACTTCTAATAAAATATAAAGTATGTGATTGCAGTTGTCAATCTGAAAGACATCAGCACACTCTCACACAGGGATGTCAAAGCCTGTTAGTCAACAGATTAGTTTATCCTCCACTAGTAAAACAAAGTCGAACCAGTTGATGTATGTGTTCAGGATAATATATTAGTGCAGACTCTGGCACCCTGCTCTAACACAAAAGCAAATGAATTATAGGCAATATTTACCGAAGTGGAAGACCAAATCTTTGAACAGAATGCTGGAAAAAGTACAGGGTGGTTGAAGCCAGATTATTGGTTGCAACATCTAGGTACATGATCTTTGTAACATATGAAAAATAGGCAGTTTCAGTCTAGAGTGTGTGATTCTGATATCAATACTATATGAAATGTGAAACACTGCTAAAGTCTTTTTTTGTGATTTAATATATTCTACATACAATTATTCTGAGTACATTCTCTGACAATGTAATTTTGATATCTTTAATATTGACTTAGTAAGACAAAGATTGAAATTATTGTTTAGGAAGCCAATGTCCGGTATTTTCTGTGCAAATTAATAAAATGTAGAGTCAATAAATTGTATATAATTTCAGTAAATTTGACTGTTCTATATTGAAATCTATCATATAATCTTTAATTTACAGCTATAAACACAAATGACCTAATTTTGTCATTTTTTGGCTATGACTACTTTATTTGCTCCCATAATTAGACAGGGTTACATTTAAAGACCCTGACATTTTTAGGAAGTTGGGTAGTAAAATGTACACTATAGAACTATTTTTTTATATTTATTCGCTCCTTTTCTATTTTGATTTTACTTGTACTTTTACTTTCAATACTTATGTAAGTTTAATATTTAAAAAAAATACTTTTCATACTTATGTACAATAAATATCACATACTTTAAAACTTTTACTCAAGCAATATTCTAAACGGTGACTTTAACTTCTACCAAGTCATTTTCTGGTAAGATATCTGTACTTTTACTCAAGTGTGGCTTTCAGGTACTTCATCCACCGCTGTGCTTTATACAATACAGACCGTTTCAAAGCAGCTTCACAGAAATAAACAGAAACTAACAGTGTTAATGTTGTAAGATTCACTCAGTTTCAGCTGTAAAGCAGCTCTACAGAAGACAATATTCAGAGTCATTATTCAGATCAAAAACAATATCAGTTCTGGATGATTGTCGCAGTGTTTTATTGATTGCTTTATTAATTTCCGTAGTGAGATTTACTTGAATTTCAGAGTGAGAATTATTTTCAGTGTATATGCAAAACTTAAAGCACTGTTTATTTCATTTCTATTTTTGTTCCATTTTATTTTCCTGTAATTAGTTTCTTTGTTCTTATTTTATTATTGACTGTTTGCTTGTCTTCAGTAAGTTTGAGAACTTAATGTTAATGCATAGAAAAAAAGTAAAAGCATAGGGTTGTTGTTGTTTTTTTGTCCCAAAATTGTGCCAACATCCTGACGACTGCGCCAAATACATAAGATCAAATCTCCATGACAGGAATATTGGATCCAGTCTTTTTACCAGATCCTGTCAGAAGACATTTGTTTTGTCTGAGACTCAAAACTGTGTTAACTCAAAGTCTTCTGTCATCCTGAGAGGTTAACAGAGGAATCCAGGGAAGAGCAGAAAGCAGGAGACAAGTGATGATCAAATGGCAGGATTTATTAAATAATATTAGTTGTGTATGTTTCAATGCTCAGATTTCATCAACAAGTGTTATTATATCAAACCAAAAGCAATGGAAAATTTCTGCTTCACAACATCATCCTGTGACATTAAAAACCTGGAAATGGAGACAATCTCTGATCTCTTACTCATGAAGAGAAATATACCTAAAAACCACACAATCATAAAATAAAACAATATTACGATTATATGACATTCAGAGAAGCTGCTCTGTGTGTGTATGTGTGTGTGCGTGTGTGTGTGTGTGTGTGTGTGTGTGTGTGTGT